CTTCCGGTGTTTTCCTGCCGGAACTGGCCCGTACTTTTCGACCTGGGAATAGGGCTGTTGCTATAGAATGACTTGACTTTTTTTTTCACTGGTTCAAAAGCATTTTTTATTAGTTCAGCCATATTTCTCGACAGTGGAATTTAAATCTACAATGTGAATTTATCATAAAAACATCTAACAGTTGATTATACACTATTTTGTTATTTAAGTTTAGTCGTGATTAAAAAAAAGTCATATGTCACCATTAATGCAACTAAAACGACAACCCTTTTTTTCAATATATAAACATAGAATTCTGACCACTATTACTGAGAATCACGAGGAAAAGCCGTTTATTAGTAACAAAGGAATACAGCAATTGACAACAAAAGAGAATGGGATAGAAGTCCTAGCATATGGACAATAAAATCGCTATGATTTAATAATAAATATAACGTCTATCTTCTAATGAGAATCCCTTCCTGATATGCAGATTATCGTTCTTCAATCGGCAATTTAGTGCGATATATCTGTTTTATTTTGAAGAGAAATACAAAATGAAAACTCTTTGAAATCTTTTATTCAGAATAGATTAACGTCTGCATATCCCAGATCACAGTTACACAGATATACGGAAATTGGTCTGATATGAAAGACATTATAAAAAACAAAACAAAATAGATCTAAGCATTTATCATCAAACTTCTCAGTACAACTATTTTCGTTCATGTTTACCTTGCTTTCATTTTCTTTTGTGTAATTCAATATAAACTAATTAGTCATTTCAAATTGTGAAATATAATTCTATATTGTTTTCGCATTAATTATATATTGACAAAAATTATACTGATGTATCATGTATACTCAAAATAGAAAAAGAAACCGGAGTATTACATGCCCTTGCCATTTTCTTTGTCCTTAAAGTACATGATGACCTGTTTGACTCTAACGAGATGACAAAATTCAACATACCACTATAAAATACATTTTCAGTAGAATTTTCTAGTTTTAAATTCAGCATATTCAAATCTATGAAAATATCTACTATCTAAGTTTACATACAGCAGGATATTTTACACTGTTTAATTTTTATACAGAAGTAATTGCCTGAGCATGAAGATTGTTATGTTAAATCAATTTTTTAAAAATAGTTTGTGATGTTGTTTCGGTTTCCTAACAATTGAGAAAATGTCTACTTTATGTTCTTATAGAAACTTCTACTCTTGTATGACACTAAATAAAGATGCCTGTAATATGCATACTGCAAAAACAATAATAAATGCCAGTAAATACTTGAATTGTGTTTCTACATTCCTGCAACTATTTAAAAAGACAAGCGAAAAAAAAAAATTTGTGTATGCATTTTTTCTAAAATATAAAAAAGAATCATAGTAATTATTACTTCTATATTTTGCAATACTTTGAAATAGAAAAAAAAATGAAGTCGGCGAGAAAAAATAAGTAGAACCGAAAAAAGAAAAAGAAACAACAGAGAAACATAAATAATGAGAGACTTTGCTTGCACCAACTATATAAATGATTCACGCGCATGGCAACTCAGCTTCAAATTATGTTGTTTCATAGAGCCTTAAGCAGTAACAGCTAATCGAGGAGGCATTCTATTGAATTAAGAATCACTGATCAAAAGAGAATGAATATGTCCCGAACAGTTAGTAATTTTAATATAGATGACACGGCATTGTAGACCTTAACGAAAAGTATTTGATGTCAACATTGCCGTCAACTGTGCAACCATAATCAAACCAAAAAAAAAGTGTACAATTGCTGGAAAGTGATTCACAAAAATTAAGCACATAAACAACCAAAAAGATAAAAGAATGAAAGGAAAAAAGAAATGAAATAAAATACAGCAAAGTTAATAAAAGTAGAGAAAAAGAAAGAAGCATAAATTTTGATTCTTTTCTGTCATAATATATCTTTTAGATATATTTTCACATCGCTAAAAACTATTATTTATATATACAGTAAAACTCGTTAAGTTAATATTGGATTAATCTTATATATACATATAATTCTATGATATGTTTGATTGCTGCTGTACATTATGCTGAAGAGAGAGAATGCCAACGCATATGTTTCTCATATTTACATTGACGTTTACAAATGATAGAATGCAAGATTTATAGATAAGAAATAAAAATTTGCTCATAGTGAGTGTATGCTTGAATGATTACAGAATTTGTCATTGATAATTAGTCTAATATAACATAAAATTATTGATGATTTAGATAATGTATATATTTCATCTGTAGCAATAATTTCTAGCGTGAAACATAACTAGATTGTTATGAATATAGGTGAGAGAAGAAATATTACTAGAAAATATCAAAATTTATTGTATATTCTTGATAATTTAAAAATTGAAATTTCAGTTTTTTGGCAACATGAAGAAATTTTTCTTCACAAATCGACTCAGCATTGAAAAAAAATTTATCATTGTGATGTTAATTTATAATTTTACACTAATAAAAAGGTGTTGCGAGTATCCAGATTAGTTCTATCTAGAATTATAAGACTATAAATAAAAGCATTTCTCGAAAGATTTGAACACAATCACCAATATAAATTATGTGATTTTGGCTTACGTCTGTATCTAAATGAAAAGCAAGAAGAAAACAAAATACAATTGATTGAAGTGCTTTCGATGGTTCTTAATAGACAGCTGTCAATAAATAACTAAAATTATATGTCAAAGCCTCTAAATTTTTAGAACAGAACAATTTCTTTTTTGTATTACAAACATGATCGAATCAAACGAAGTTCTACTTAATAATCAATTCGTATTTCTCGCTAATAAATCATATATACGTATTACTTTTATCATACACTATTTATTAATTTTAATAAAGCTAAGAGCAAATGAATTTATAAAATAGGTTGAAGTACTTCATTTGGATAGTTTAATATCATATTTTCTTTTCTGAATATTAAACTACATATAAACCTCACTTTTCGAAATAAGTTCCATACGCCACTTAACTATTATATATTCCACTTTTATGACGAGAACGACTATTTAAAATGAATATTGAATATATTCTTTTTCTATAACATTTCTGACTTCCTACGTCTATGGCATTGATTGCATGATTGAACTTCTTCTGTGACTATCCTTCATCGATATAGAATGAATCTCGTAACCTTTTTTCTTTTTAAAAATCTTGCACTTAAATATTTGATGCTGTTATGATAATCTTTTTTATGGGATATTAACGTAACTGTTTTTTGTTCTTTGTTTATTACCATATGCAATACAAAAATAGATTCGACCTGCAGGGTATTTTCAGATTAATTGTTATTTAAGTCTCTGTATCTAATCATAAGATATTGATAATATGAATAGATTTAAGATAATATAAGTTGATCTGTTAAGTATTGAATATTGACATATTAAGGCATTAAGAAGCGTCGTTTCTAGAACTTTTCTTAACAATTAATAAAGAGAAAAATCATCTCCATATCATTTTTAATCTTTTTAAATGTTTTTCAGTTAGTAGGTACCGTTGTGATTTGTTAGGAAAATGACTCAACTATTTCTTTTGATTGATCAACAGCATATTATCAAAACCTATGACATGTTACTAGACACTTTCTACTACATTCGATAATAATAATTATAATGACTGCAATATCTCTTGTATATGTTTCAGAGTAATGATATAAAAAATGAATATAGATACGTCGCTATCTTCAAGAAGTTCTTCTCTACTAAATCCTATGTATTTCATTTACCTAATAAAGGCTTATATTCGTATTTTCTGAGTAATTAAAAACATGTTCTCCTTGACATTGAATACCTTTTTTAATCAATTGTTTTTCCAACCTATTTTATTCATATAATATTTTGGTGAAACTTTTGGCTCCTTCAGCTTCCACATATTGTTTTTATCTAATAAATTTTTTTGATCGACTCTGCTGATAATTTCGATGTGTGTATTGCGAATAATTGTTTTTTACTAATTCATTTATTTCGAAAATTTACAAGAAAGCTAAGAGATTCCTCTCAACAACTGTGTACCAACTTTTCTTTCCAATATAGTGAAAATTTACATTGAAAAGTTTTTCATGATATTGAAAAAAATTCTACTAAAGTAAATATTGTTCTTCGATAAAAATACATCATTTTCATCAATAAATTTTAATTAACATTGATTTTTTATTTATGGAAAGAGATAAAGAGAAATATTAGTGACATTGATGTTAATGAGAGGAATAAACAATTAAATCTGAAGAATTAGAATTGTTCCTTTCAAAATCAAATCTAGGAATAGAAAAGAGATGTTTACTAGTTTATAAACGGGGTGTATTATCTTCATTATATAGTTCAATGCTTTTAAGAACAAAGTTAGTGTCTGAGATTAGAAGACTTTTAAGTGAATAAGGCATAGTCAAGTATTTAGAAAAATCTATGTTGGACATAGTATTTATCAGAACACTCTTTTGTAGTCAAAGCAAACAAACTTTAACAGGAGCATACACTAGACCAAGACACAACTTGTTCTTGTTCTATGTAACGTAATATCGCAACTGTATCAGTTCGTCAACAGCTTCCTTAGAAATTAAGCAATTTTTTAATCCGAAATAGAATAATTGAGGAAATAGTAAATATGGCTTGCGCTGCTTTCAATCTCCAGAACATAATGTTGTATTGAATAGTTCATATAAGCACTCTTTGCACCCTTCGTGAGTATACAGACGCAGTACCATACGCTCGTCTAAACTTAGTTTGCATTGTTTTATGTTCAGGAAAACGCTTTTCAGCATCGTTGATATACATATTCCATTCAATCATTAAAAGTGTTATTCGTGGAAGATTTGAATTATTTCTAATCCGTCAATCGACACAAAACTTTTATTTCTGCATTCAACTTACTTATATAAATTGATTGAATGTATTACTTGTCGTATGTCTATGAAGTACTCTAAAGTCTTTGTTTTTTATCTAAATTTTTCTCGCAATCTTTCAACTTGCAGAGTAGAAAGAGAAAAACAAATGTTTTGTTTAATCTGAAACTTTTTCTTTATACTATACACAGTTGTCTACAGCAAACAACTGACAAGATTTCACCCTTTTTCTACACCAGAAGCTGTTCTACTATTCTGTTCTTGTAGGAAAAAGAAACACAATATGCAAAGAATAATAGATAAACTCATGTTGCTGGTTAATCGAGTATCGAATTATTGAATAACCAATAAGAGTTTTTCTGATCTTCACTTGTCATCT